TCATACATGATTGCCAATTTGACTTTTACAGGCAAACCATCGATCGAGGTAAAAATTCTTGACGAACTACAGCTAAGTCCGGCCTCTGCCAGAGCATCTGCTGCATGATTAGCCTCTCGGTAGATATGTCTAACTGTGGAAGCCCACGCTTTCAGACAAGAGCGGACGTTTAGTATCGCTTCTTTAATCATCCACGGGATCCTCGTTGTATCGGAGGTCACCAAGTTAGGAAGGGTCAGGGAATCAACCTCAATTGCATAGGGCCGTTTGGCAAAAGCAGCGCACCATTGTAAGGCATAATGAAGCGCCTTCGTCTCGGCCTCCAGAGCTAATGCCGCGTCGTAGCGAAAACATAAACCCACAACAAATTGTCCGTTAGAGTCACGAAGACAAGCACCCCTTGCGGCTGCAAACAAACAGTAAGTAGCATCTGATTCAGTTTGAGTCTTCCCACGGGCGGCGCGAGCCACTTCACCCAAATTGTAATTCTCCGCGGCGAGGCCACAAATCTAGTTACCAAACCAGTAGAGACAAGCAGTAGGGCATGGGAGTCATGTTTAAAGGGTTGAGAGCAAGAAATCAGAAAACCTCCTGCTTTACCTTTTTTATTACTCCAACTGATGAGAATGGTAATTCTTCATAGACCCATTGATTGTAAGAGCACCATATAAACCAGAGGATAAAACATGGTATGAGCTGTGCCAGACTGTCCGCTGTTGAACCCGGAGCCGCCATGAGCCACCACGCATGACACTCTGACCGAATAGAGCTAGCAGCCGTGTCTGCCAGACCAAAAATCCCACAAAAAGATAGAATAATAGTTATTAATTATCTTATTATTGATCAATTCATTGTAATATAAAGTACATGATGAAGAAATGTATTTATAAGGATAGAGTTTCAATTAGGAACACTAAATGGTAAAATGATAATATACCTAATAATATAGGGAAGGGGGGAATGAATTCTAGTTTGCCTAGAATAATCGAAACCATTCTTCTCAATGCATTCTTCCAACTCTTCTCTCATCCAGCTCTCTGCTTCCTACTTCAACAAACATAGGTTCGAACTTGGCTCCGCTGGTTTGCAGTCTAGCTCAAACCATTAAAGTTAATAAATAGCTTCCACAGTAAGTCAAATTTAAAATCTCATAATTATTAAGTCATTTGTTCGATCAACTCTACGTATAAACATGGTGTGTTAAGGTAATATTGTGTAAATATAATGCAAAATCACAAGATATGAAATGCAAATCGTACATTTAATAACAAGTTTGAGCCGTCCTGGGGCGACTACGTACCATCCATAATAATAAGTTATGGCGGCAGAGAATATTTGAAGACAAATAATATGGCACCAAGGATGTATATAACATTTTACGATACTGATGCAATGCATGTAAAAACAAAGAAATAATGTTTTGAGAGAAAACGCATTAACAAACTTTAACTATGTTCTTAGACAGGTACAAAATTCCAAATATGCAATATACAAAGAGTGATGTAGAATGCAATCATTAGACGGCCTAATTGTCTTTTGCATCTTCATATCTAATCTACCTTGGGAGTTTGTGGACCAACAATTTTATATCCAACTAATGCTTATATATAGTTCCTGATTGTAGTCCTAGCTACATCATCTATCTATCAACTTCTCTTTATTTTATCTACTACTACACAATCCTAATAATGAGGAGTTATAGTTTAGAATATCTCCATTATAGTTTTTTCCTTGTTTGGCTTTTGATCTTCTCTAATATTAGAATCTCAAATAGCATTTGCATGGAGAATGAGAGACAAGCTCTTCTAAGCTTCAAACATGGCATTTCCGACCCTAACAACCTTCTTTCCTCATGGACCGGTGAAGATAATGATTGTTGTAAATGGAAGGGAATTCGTTGCGACAATACAACTGACCATGTTGTTGCTCTTCTTTTGGGGCCTCAAGTCATGTGCACTAATGGAACATCATGCTCTCCACACTTATATCATGAAATCAGCCTGTTGAGATTAACAAGAACAAGAAAAATAATAATGACAAAAAGGTAAAGAAGACAAGATTTACGTGGTTCGGCAATGTGCCTACATCCACGGGAGTGAAAGTATTCTCTTATTATTTGTGATGGTGTTAGTGGTGACACACCCTTTAGGGATACAACCAATATATTTATAGGCATCCAATCCCTATACAATAGGTCTACTCGTTTCACTCCTACTCCTAGTATGAGACAAACACTTATTCCTAATCCATATATGAGACAAACTCAACAATCTCCACCTTGACGAATATGTTCTTTAGGAGAAAAGATAACTCAACAAATCTCCACCTTGACGAATATGCTCTTTAGGAGAAAAGACTTATCTCACCATCTCCACCTTCACATATATGCCCTTTAGGAGAAAAGACTATCTCCACCTTCGCAAATATGTCCTTTAGGAGAAAAAGATAACTCAACAAATCTCCACCTTAGCAAATATGTCCCTTAGGAGAAAAGACTTATCTCACCATCTCCACCATCACAATTATGCCCCTTAGGAGAAAAAAACTTATCTCACATATACACATGGGTAGGAACAACCATGCTCATCTCAACTAGCCAGCCACATGCATACGCAGCATCAAACGTTACCCAGTGCATGTACACGAACCGCTTTGTTCCAAGCCATTCGCCCCTCAGCCGTCGACCTGTTATACCGCCGCGACTCATGCTTACTGTCCCGTTTAGCTGACCTCCTGCATCCGGCTCATACCAAGTCCATGTCCCCTCCTGGTATCCACGCTGCCGCTAACACAACAGCGCCCCTGCAAAGTCACACTAAACTCGTGTGCCTTGCCCAATACTCCACTAACCAGCAATTACCACTGGTCAGCAACACGCACCATGCAGCATCAAACGTTTCCCCGTACATGTTCACGAACTTCTTCGTCGTCCCGAGAAGTCCTCCCATACCAAACCCATATCGGCCCTAACCAGTGCTATACCGGCACATACCGAGCCCATATAAGCCCATACCGATACCAGCAGTGACTCGTGAAAAGCTCGACCCATACCAGCCGTGACTCATGCCAAAAGCCCATCCCATACTAGCTGTGACTCATGACAAGCCCAGCCCATACCGAGCCAATATTGACCCATATTGATACCAGGTCCACGACCACTCCTGGTATCCGCGCTGCCCAACACCACAGCGCCCCTAACCACCTTCTCATCTAGCATCTAGAAACGCCCAACAAGTCCAAACAACGTTCGAACTTGTTACTAGTTACCGCTAGAACATCACCTTCACTATAATAAGATTCATCAGCATGTACCACGTCCGTAGCTTCCTGCTTCTTCAACTCCTTCCAATCAGCTTCTTCCAGATCAGCTGGCTTTTCCGCCTTCAAGGTTTTCAGAAGGCCTTGTTGTGCCAACAAATCTTTTACCCTAGATTGCCATAACCCAAAATTCCCTGTACCATCAAACTTTGATACCTCGAATTTTGTACTTGAACAGACCATCTCAACAGTGCTCTGATACCAATTTGTTGAGATTAACAAGAACAAGAAAAATAATAACAATGGCAAGTAGGGTAAAGAAGACAAGATTTACGTGGTTCGGCAATGTGCCTACATCCACGGGAGTGAAAGTATTCTCTTATTATTTGTGATGGTGTTAGTGGTGACACACCCTTTAGGGATACAACCAATATATTTATAGGCATCCAATCCCTATACAATAGGTCTACTCGTTTCACTCCTACTCCTAGTATGAGACAAACACTTATTCCTAATCCATATATGAGACAAACTCAACAATCTCCACCTTGACGAATATGTTCTTTAGGAGAAAAGATAACTCAACAAATCTCCACCTTGACGAATATGCTCTTTAGGAGAAAAGACTTATCTCACCATCTCCACCTTCACATATATGCCCTTTAGGAGAAAAGACTATCTCCACCTTCGCAAATATGTCCTTTAGGAGAAAAAGATAACTCAACAAATCTCCACCTTAGCAAATATGTCCCTTAGGAGAAAAGACTTATCTCACCATCTCCACCTTCACAATTATGCCCCTTAGGAGAAAAAAACTTATCTCACATATACACATGGGTAGGAACAACCATGCTCATCTCAACTAGCCAGCCACATGCATACGCAGCATCAAACGTTACCCAGTGCATGTACACGAACCGCTTTGTTCCAAGCCATTCGCCCCTCAGCCGTCGACCTGTTATACCGCCGCGACTCATGCTTACTGTCCCGTTTAGCTGACCTCCTGCATCCGGCTCATACCAAGTCCATGTCCCCTCCTGGTATCCACGCTGCCCCTAACACAACAGCGCCCCTGCAAAGTCACACTAAACTCGTGTGCCTTGCCCAATGCTCCACTAACCAGCAATTACCATTGGTCAGCAACACGCACCACGCAGCATCAAACGTTTCCCAGTGCATGTTCACAAACTTCTTCGTCGTCCCGAGAAGTCCTCCCATACCAAACCCATATTAATACCAATTTGTTGAGATTAACAAGAACAAGAAAAATAATAATGACAAAAAGGTAAAGAAGACAAGATTTACGTGGTTCGGCAATGTGCCTACATCCACGGGAGTGAAAGTATTCTCTTATTATTTGTGATGGTGATAGTGGTGACACGACCCTTAGGAATACAACCAATATATTTATAGGCATCTAATCCCTATACAATTGGTCTACCCGTTTCACTCCTACTCCTAGTATGAGACAAATACTTATTCCTAATCCATATATGAGACAAACTCAACACAGCCCTTCTTTACAAGGTGAAATTGGCCCTTCCATGCTTGATTTATCATTTCTCAATTACTTGGATCTTAGTTGCAATCAATTTGAAAGTATTATTCTAACCTTCATTGGCTCTCTACACAACTTAGTCTATCTCAATCTTTCTTTCAACAATTTGGTCGGAAATGTTCCTCCTCATCTAGGAAATATTTCCACCTTAAAATATCTCGACTTTGAAAACAATTTTCTCTCAATGGATTCCTCTTTACAATGGATTTCTGGTCTTGCTTCATTGGAATACCTCAACTTGGAATTTACAAACCTCTATCAAACTTTAGATTGGCTAGAGTCAGTTACAAAGTTACCAGTGCTGAGAACTTTACATCTGTCTTTCTATACATTTCCCAATAATCCCCAATCACTTCTCAACCTGAATTCTTCCAAGTCCCTTGAATACTTGTATATAGAGGCTAGAACTCTGACTTCTTCATTATTGAACTTGTGGCTAAATCAAAGTTACAGGATGAAAGAACTAAAGCTTTCTGGTAGCCAATTATATGGTATGGTTCCAGATGTTGTGACCAAAATGTACTCCCTTGAATATCTTGATCTCTCCTATAATTTGCTGCAAGGTGAGAAGACTGAGGATCTTAAATTTTTGAGGTATCTTGGGAACATGAAAGCTCTACATTTGTCAAAAAACTTGTTTTCTTTCAACTTCTCAGAACTCGTTTTAGGTTCTGAGGAAACGATACAAGTTTTGAATTTTCGAAGTAACAAAATTGTTGGATCATTGCATGATATCAAAAAGTTTTCTTCCCTGAGAGCATTGGACATGACCGAAAATCAACTTTCTGGTCCACTACCCAACATGTCAACAATGTTGTCTCTGGAATCCTTATTCATTGGCTACAATCAGCTTGTAGGAAATTTAACGGGAAGTAACATCGGCCACCTTTCCAATCTTATTGAGCTAGATGCTTCTTCAAACTTTTTACGAGAAGCCATCAATGAAACCCACTTTTCTAATTTTAGCAAATTGAAGGTGCTTTTGTTGTCCGGTAACGATATAAAGTTGAATCTGAGCACCAAGTGGGTTCCCCCATTTCAACTGGGACATCTAGGGCTAAGATCTTGCAAGTTGGGTCCCAAATTTCCTAGTTGGATCCGGACACAGACATTATACCTAGAAATTCTCGATATCTCAGATAATGGAATTTCATGTTCCATTCCTCACTGGCTCTCCAACCTTACTTCCTTACGTCATTTGACTATTTGTCAAAATTTTCTTCGAGGTATCTTACCTAACTTGGCCTCAACATTTACTGTAATAAACTTGAGCAATAACAAGCTTGAAGGTCCAGTACCAAAAAATTACTCAGGAGCAACATTTCTAAGTCTTTCTAAAAATAACTAGTCTGGAACCATTTCTTTTCTGTGTACAGATGAATTTAAAGAATCTAATTATCTTGACCTTTCCGACAATCTCTTCTCTGGGAATATTCCTGAATGTTTGGGGAAACATGCTGGTAAGTACCTAGGGGTGCTAAACCTAGCAAACAATAACTTCTCTGGAGAAATCCCTTCATCCCTGGGTTATTTGAGTCAGATTTCATCACTGCATTTAAGGAATACTGGTTTATTTGGGAAGTTGCCCATATCTTTGAAGAATTGCACTTCATTGAGAATTTTGGATCTTGGAGAGAATCAATTAAGTGGGGATATTCCTGTATGGATTGGGGAAAGTTTGACACAGTTGAAGGTCCTTTACTTGCATTCAAATGAACTAAAAGGATCGATCCCTACTAGTATCTGCCAACTTCAATCCATGCGAGTTTTAGATCTATCTTCAAACAACTTATATGGACCCATCCCAACTTGCTTCAGTAATTACAGTAGTGCAATGACTCAAATGCTTGATGAATGGTTTCTAGACGAAGCACATTTTGAAGGGACTTCTCTATTTGGGGTATTAAATACTCTCCATTACTTTATCTTTGATTTTGAATTGGTTATGTGGAAGGGAAAGGAGGCCGAGTATAGAAAAAACCTCAAATTCTTGAAAGCCATTGATTTATCAAACAACAGATTGGTTGGAGAAATCCCTGTAAACTTGACAGATTTGCATGGGCTAATCTCACTAAACCTTTCAAATAACAATTTGAATGGGTCCATCCCGTACAAGATTGGTGAGATGAACTCACTAGAGATTCTCGATCTATCACACAATCAGTTGTTTGGAGCAATACCAGTGAGCATGGCTAATTTATCATTTCTTGCAGTCTTGGACTTGTCAAATAATAACTTATCTGGTTGCATTCCACCTGGCACGCAATTACAAGGGTTCACTGAAGCGTATCAAGGGAATCCTGAATTACGTGGGCTTCCACTTCAGACCAAATGTCGAAGTAGCAAACAAGGAAATGGTCTATGGACAAAAGGAAATGATGATGATGATGATATTGATGAAGAAGAGCATTGGATTTTATTAGACTTTGATTTCTTTTTGAGTATGACTCTTGGATTCATTATTGGATTTTGGGGAGTGTGTGGAACGCTAATACTGAAACGTTCTTGGAGACTTGCATTTTTCCAATTTTTAGAAGACAAAAAAGACGATATCTACCTTTTCATTGTATCTCATGGAACCAAATTGAGGAGGAGCATGGGAGCCATGTTGAAGAAATAGGTAATTAAACTTATTCTAAATTTCTAATTTAAAATTACATTTCCTTTCTAGAAATGAAATTGAATTTGCAGTTATTATAAATGAAGGGTCATGCACGGAAGCAAGATCAGGTAGCCTGTCTTCATGAGCCACGGGAAATACATGCATAAGACCACCGGAGAACCTTCATGTCATTTTAAATAAAGAATTTTAGTTTATTTAATCATGTGTGTATTTCTTTTTATTCATATTGCAAATACAATACTAGTAGTGATGACGTTTTAATTATATTGCAAATACAATACTAGTAGTGATGACGTTTTAATTTTGGTGATGAAGATTCTTTAAAAGAAAGAAAAATGATTTACTCCATTCTTTAAAAGAAAGAAAAATGATTTACTCCAAATTAGCACTTCACTTTCTACAAATCAATCACAACTTAAAACGAATAAAGCTTGATACCCTTGTGAATAAGGGTACAACACTGATGTCAGGGTATTGCAGTGAACAATATACTCTATTGAAGTTCGATCTCATGACCTCCCACATGAAAGAAGTCACTACATGTCATCTGAGCACAAGGTACTTGGCTCAAATGGAATATATTTAAATTATACCAAAACACATTGTATGGATCGGACTATTAGAGTAGTTCCAACGAATTCCCTTCTATTTACAACAATCATTATCTTAACCGGTCTATATATGAAGATTTAAAAGACAATTAGGCCGTCTAATGATTGCATTATACATCACTCTTTGTAAGTTTTGTGTATTTCCCAAATAATACGGTTCAGTGGCTGATATGATTTTGGTTAATTTTCTATTTTTCATCCAATCCTGATTGAGGGAGTAAAAATTGCAAGAATATCTAATATTTCTGTACGTATTATTATATTATATTGGTCTATTATTATTTATTCACGAGAAACTATAAATTCATTTATAATTTCGATAAGTGAAACTGGATTAATTTTGGAGTAAATACCCAAAATAGTCCCTCGACTATAGCTAAATTCACAAATTGATCCTCGACTTTCAATTTCAACCAATTAAGTCCTTAACTTTGCAATTTTGATACAATTTGGTCCTCCATTTATTTGACCGTTTGTTGACTGCGATCTTTGAGGATATATATGTCGTTTCACGTGCAAAGCTCAAGAGAACGCTCTTGGAGGTGACATCGTTGTTTCGGGCGGGGGGGGGGGGGGGTGCTTATCCGCTTGCTGCTTGGGGATCACGAGTCGGTTCAGCTTAGAGAATGCTCTTGGAGGTGACAGCGCCGTTTCGGAGGGGGGAAGTGCTTCTCCGCTTGCTGTTTGGGGATCCTGAGCCGGTTCAACTTGCCTACATTGCTTGGAGTCACGGCTTTCTCGAAGAGCCACTCCAAGGACTTCTGCGATCTATCTATCAAAAGCTATAATCTCTCCGGCATGGGGTGCAGCGCCGACAGTGGATTCAAATGTAACAGTGCGGTCTAGAAATGCAACCGGAACCTTAAAAACCCGATGATGGACCATGAAATTACATATACATCCTAAAAAAGCGCAGTCAACAAACGGTCAAATAGACAAAGGACCAAATTGTGTTAAAATTGCAAAGTTAAGGACTTAATTGGTTGAAATTAAAAGTCGAGGACCAATTTGTGAATTTAGCTATAGTCGAGGGACCATTTTGGATATTTACTCTTAATTTTGCACTAGCTTGATCCCACTAATCACGTTCTCATCATTCATGCTCTTGCTCAAGACCTGTACAAATTACAATCATGAAAATACAAAGTTAACAAAGTTAATTAGCAGCAGTTTGCTATGTAACGTTTACTCCACCCTGTAAAATAAATTTTCAAAACAATATACTTATATTTTCCAAAATATTACATGGCCAAAAAGACTCTTTAATTAGTACACACCCAAAACTCAATAACCAAAAGTATTACTTTCCTCAACCACAATCATGGTTGAAAAAATTGCTAGGCACTCATGTGCGCCTAAGCACCCGTGTATTTTTTATTTTTCAAAAATTTGTTTAATTTTTTTTTTTAATTTTTTAAGACTTGATAATGATAAATTATTTAATACTTCAATAGTTAATACAAAATATTAAATATAAACCTAAAAACATCTCGAGTTTGAATAATTTAGAGTTATTTTGCTCAAAACGATGTCGTTTTGAGTGAAATAACTCATTTAAAAAGAAAGGAACAATAGCTAATCGCCGATTAAGCGACCTACTCAGTGTCTAGGAGGCCTAGACGGTCAACACCTAGGCTGTCAACCGCATAGACCACCGATTATGGTGATACGCTAACCAGCCAGCGCCAAGTGCCTAGGCTCCGATTAATCGGTGCCTAGGCAAGATTTTTGCAACACTGACCATAATATATAAATTGTACCAAGACAATAATTTCTTATCATTTTCAAAATATGGAGGATTCACCAAATAAACAATGGGCAGGGACTTACTTATTTAAGCCCTAGTGAGTCAACTTTTACATCACTGCTCACTCCTCAAAAATTCCATTCAAGTACCAATCAAATAATGGGTAGAGACTTACTTATTTAAGCCACAGTGAGTTAGCTTTTACGTCATTGCTCACTCCTCAAAAATACCATTCAAGTAGAACAGAACTAATACCTTAATGGGTTGTTTGGTTCACGGAATAGGCCGGAATGACATAGCATTCCCAGTAATAGGTCTATTCCTTTATTTGGTAACCACTTGTATTCCCAGGAACATTGTTCCCGGGAATGACCTATTCCCCTTGCAAGGGGAATAGAGATTCCTGGGGGGAGGGGGGGGGGGGTGGTATTAAACTATTCCTGAGTAGTAATAGCCTAAAGTTTCTATTTCCTATTTTACCCCAATTAAATTTATTTCCTATTTCACCACCGCCACCACCACCATTGCCACCGCCGCCACCGCCACCACCATTAGCACCACTACCCCAGCACCGCCACCACCACTGCCACCACCACCACCACCATCAACGCTGCCACCGCCACCACCGCCACCGTCGCCGCCGCCACCAACGCCACCGCCACCACCACCATCAACGCTGCCACCGCCACCACCGCCACCGTCGCCGCCGCCACCAACGCCACCGCCACCACCACCATCACATATTTTTATAAGGGTATTTATGTCTTTTAAAACATATTTAATTTCTATTCCTTAAATCAACCAAACACTGTAATATAATTTCTAAAGTTTATTCCTTCCGCGAACCAAACAATAGAATACAATTCATATTCTATTCCTTGCCTATTTCATTCCTTATGTAATAGCATTCCTATTACCTCAAAATTCATTCCGTGAACCAAACGTGCTGTAAGTGTACACACCCCAAGGGGTTTCCAGGCCCAATGAGTAGTAACTAGTCCTACTAGTCAGGATATGTTTCTAGTGCCTACTACTCAACAGGGTAAATACCTTAGTGAGACAGCTTTTACGTCATTGCCCACTCCTTAAAATAATAGGACATACAGTCCTAGTGAAACAAAATATGTTTAGTTTCTCATTCCTCAAAATAACAGGACATACAATGAGATAACTTTTACGTCAGTGCTCACTTCTGAACATAAACTTGGTTTCAACCCAATAAACCAAATTCCATAACAATCCTCCAAAGTCAAAATAAATATATAACTATAATCTTTATTCTGAAATAAATATTTCAAATTCGTATAACCATATATATATGTGAAAAAACAATTTAAAAAATTCACCAAATTGAAAGGTTTCCAATCCTCAAAACTTTCCAAAATTTTTTCAAAAAACCATTTCCAAAGTAAATTAGATATCATGACCACAAAAATCTTCACCAAGATACTAACAACCAATTATGCATCAAGCACAAAACAACACAAAATAGCAAATACGTACGCCAGAAAAACCAAAACTCATAAAAACTTGCAGAATTTTGACCTGGATTAGATATGAAGATGCAAAAGACAATTAGGCCGTCTAATGATTGCATTCTACATCACTCTTTGTAAGTTTGTATATTTCCAAAATAATATTATATTGTTGATGTGGATGATATTATTATTGTTAATTTTCTATTTTTCATCCAACTGTGATTGAGGGAGTAAATATTGGAAGAATATCTAATATTTCTGTACGTATCTTTACATTATATTGGTCTATTATTCACGAGAAACTATAAAATGATCTATAATTTCAAAATTTCAATGGAACTCGATTACTTTTGCAATTGTGATGAGGATACGGTAAAAAAAAAAAAGTATTTACAGTGTCTTTTGTAATTATTACATATATTCAACAAAATTATATGATAAATTTATATAATTTCACGAAATACTACCATAGAAGTTTCTGATTAAAGTTGAATAGCTGTTGTTTTGCATATTTGGAATTTCTACCTGTCTTAGAACAGAGTTAAAATTTGTTAATGTGTTTTCTCTCCAAATATTATTTCTTTGTTTTTACATGCATTGCATGAGTATCTTAAAATGTTATTGACACTATATGCATCCTTGGTGCCATATTATTTGTCTTCAAATATTCTCTGCCGCCATAACTTATTATTATGGATGGTTTGTAGTCGCCCCAGGACGGCTCAAACATTAAGTTATTACATGTACGATTTGCATTTCATATCTTGTGATTTTGCATTATATTTACACAAAATAATCTTAATTAACACATCACGTTTATTCGTAGAATTGATCAAACAATTGACTTAATAATTATGAGATTCTAAATTTAACTCACTGTGAAAGCTAAATTAGAAGAAAAAGAATAGGGTGGAGCAACGTAACAATATCCCTAACATATTGCTACTATATAGTTATTACCATGGATCTTGTAGTCCAATGGTATCAAATTGAACTTCTACCTACGTGGTTGTGGGTTCCAGCCTCAGTAGAGACGCTATTGACTCAACTTTGACCTTCAGTAGGTATATATATATATATATATATATATAGTTGTTAATTGCAGTAGTAGTAGAGCATACAACAAAACATATACATAATACTGCTAATCCAATTAAAGCTGATGATGAGGATTTGTGGTTCTTATCTCCAGTGGCTTCTGTTCCTTTTGAGTATTCTTCAACATTTAAAGGGGAGTAGAAGTTGCTTAGACAATGAGAGAAAAGCTCTTCTAAGCTTCAAACATAGCATTATTTCTGACCCATTGAGCTCTCTTTCCTCATGGGGAGATGATGATGACTGCTGCAAATGGAAAGGAGTTGGTTGTGATAACATAACTACTGGCCATGTTGTTGCTCTTCATTTGGGGCTTGAAGGCTTGTGCACTGATGGACCACCATGCTACCCAGGCCTACTACAAGGTGAAATCAGCCCTTCCTTGCTTCATTTACCCTTTCTCAATTTCTTGGATCTTAGTTTCAATGATTTTGAAAGAATTCCGAGTTTCATTGGCTCTCTCAACAACTTGGTCTATCTTGATCTTTCTTATAATAATTTATTTGGAAATGTTCCTCCTCATCTGGGAAATATTTCCTCTTTGAAATATCTTGACATTGGCAACAACTTCATTGATGGTCAAGATTTAAAAGTAGTTGACACCTTGGAATGGATTTCTTATCTTTCTTCCTTGGAGTATCTCAATATGGATGGGGTAGACCTTCATTCTGTTTCAGATTGGCTTCACTCAATTTCAAAGCTTTCTTTGCTCACAACACTAAGCCTATCTTCCTGCTACCTTCCAAGTCTCCCATCATCACTAAATTTGTGGCTAAACCAAAGCTACTTCCTTGAATATCTTGATCTCTCTAGAAATTCTTTGGTAGGTGAGAACAAGGACATAAAATTCTTGAGGCATCTTGAAAAGTTGAAGATTCTAGATTTATCATATAATTCTTTTTCTTTCAACTTTTCACAACTCATTTTAGGTTCTGAGAAATTGATAGAGATTTTGAGATTGAGTGATAACAAAATTGTCGGATCACTAGATGGAATCAAAAAGTTTAATTCCCTAAGAGAATTAAACTTGGAGAATAATCAACTTTCTGGTTCACTACCTGACATGTCAACAATGTTGTCCATTGAAATTTTTGCAATTGGCAACAATCACTTCCATGGAAACTTAATGGGAAGTAACATCGGCCACCTCTCCAATCTCAAATGTCTAGATGTTTCTTCAAATTTTTTGGATGGAGCCATATCTGAAATCAACTTCTCTAATTTTAGCAAATTGGATGAGCTCATCCTGTCTGATAACTCTTTGACACTGAATTTAAGCACCCACTGGATTCCTCCATTTCAGTTAAGAGGTCTAGGCCTAAGATCTTGTGAGTTGGGCCCCAAATTTCCTAATTGGCTCCACACACAGACAAAACTAAATACTCTTGATATCTCAAATAATGGAATTTCAGATCTCATTCCTCAATGGCTCACCAACCTATCCAACTTAGATTATTTGAGTGCTTCTCAAAACAGAATTCGTGGAAAATTACCAAACATACCATCAACTTTCAATCTGGTAGTAGACTTTAGCAACAATTTGCTAGAAGGTCCTATACCAAACAATTATTCGGGATTATTTACACTGAACCTTTCCAAAAATAAGCTTTCTGGAACCATTTCATTTCTGTGTACAAATATTTCTATATGGCTTTATCAACTTGACCTTTCAAACAATTTCTTTACCGAGAAAATTCCTGAATGTTTGGGGAAATTTAAGTACTTGTATAGTTTAAACTTGGCAAATAATAACTTGTTTGGTGAAATCCCCTTATCCATAGGACACTTAAACAATATGGTTTCACTGCATTTGAGAAGCAATAGGTTTGATGGGGAATTTCCTGTGTCTCTACAAAATTGCACTTCATTGGTGGTTTTGGATCTGGGAAATAATTATTTAACTGGGGGTATTTCAGCATCAATAGGGGAAAGCTTAAAGGAGTTGAAGATCCTTTGTCTGGATTCAAATGAACTAAAAGGATCAATCCCAATTAATATCTGCCAACTTCAATCCATTCAAATAATAGATTTGTCTTTGAACCATTTATCTGGTTTCATTCCAACTTGCTTCAATTCATTAATGACTAAATATGATGAATGGATGCCAAACATGAGGACTCCTGGATATTCTCAACTAATCTATGGGATTTTTGGCTCTCTCTCAGAAGTTTTCTTTGATTATGAATGGCTTATGTGGAAGGGTGCAGAGGTGGAGTATGGTAAGAACCTCAAATTCATGAAGCTCATTGATCTCTCTAGCAATAAATTGGTTGGAGAAATCCCAGTTGAGATAACTGATTTGCATATGCTTAATTCACTAAACCTGTCAAGAAACAAACTGACCGGATCCATCCCAGACAAGATTGGTGAGATGTGCTCGCTAGAGAATCTCGACCTCTCAAACAATCTACTTTCTGGAGCAATACCAATGAGCCTAGCTAGTTTATCATTTCTTGCTCACTTGGACTTGTCGAACAACAATTTGTCTGGTTGTATTCCACTCGGCACTCAGTTGCAAGGATTCACTGAGGCTTATCAGGGAAATTCAAAGCTACGAGGGTCTCCACTTCCAACAAAGTGTCATAGAGATGAACCTGGAAATGCTCCACAACAAGGGGGAATTGATGAAATTGAAGAAGATGAAGGATGGATTATTTGGGACTTTGATTTCTTTGTGAGTTTGACACTTGGATTCATTCTTGGTTTTTGGGGAGTATGCGGAACATTAATACTCAAGCATTCTTGGAGACATGCATATTTCCAATTTTTAGAAGACAAAAAGGAGAAGCTTTGCACTACCATAGTAGTCTACGGAGCCAAATTGAAGAGAGGCATGGGAGTTAGCTAGATTGGAATAAAAGGTAAGATGATTGAGATTCTAAATTTTTTTCATTTGAAATTATAATATATTTTTATTTAGCAATAAAGATTAATAAATAAGTGGCAATGCATTAAAACAGGATCAACTCATGTTTTTGAGCTACAGGAAGTACGAAGGCCATTGGAGTACCTCCGATCCATGTAATTCTAAATAAATTTCAATCATGTGTATTTGTGTGTTTCTATTCTTATTTCAAGTCATGTAATTCTATTTTGTTCTGTATTGTGTGTATTGAGCTTCTACTATCATCATATCATAGTCTACCTTGTAAGGTGACTTATTTAAATAAAATTCATTTTAATATACCAAAGTTTCATTTTTAATATATTTAATAGAAACCAAGTGGCTTGTAGTTCATTGATATTGGGTTGCTCCCTTAAGTGGGAGGTGATAGGTTTGAACTTCACTTGAGGCAAGTAGTGTGTATATGTAGGGTATCCCCCTTCCTTATAATAAAAAATATATATATATTTAATAGGAACCAAGTTAACATGTTTATCATGTTAAATGTATACGGTGTTGACACGTGTTCTTATTTTATTTTTTATGTATATGGTGAACTTCAAGACTCACGTGCTTTTTCAATCCCCAATGTTTTTTTATTACAAGCTACATTATTGCTATATAAAATGTTTATCCTCAATATTTTTTATTACAAGATACATTAGTGCTATATAAAATACATACACATGACTATTTTAATAATAAATTTAATTATTGAATAATGTATATCTACTTTAATATTATTCTCTTATTTGAAACTTTTCTTTTATTTATTTTAATTTTTTATAATTAAAAGTTATTTCTCAATGACAATGAAAGTGTGGAATAGCAATATAATACAATTACATTCTAGGCAAGTGGGGGCACCACTATTGACTAGATTATGAACAAACATCAATATTATGTACTATGTGACATTTTTGAAAAGCCCGTATGTGGTGTTTAATCAGCGAAACATCATATCCTGTATTATGCATCCACAATTCCACAACAAGCCAACTTTTCCTCGGCGGAGTCCTTACGTTGTATATTGACTTGTCGTTATAATTATAGACTTGGTTTAATATCACTGTAATTTATCTAAAAGATTTTGCATTATTATTTGTCAATTCAATTGATTTTTCTTGCCCAAATTTATTGCCAAACATTGTTTGAAAATATCTCCTTGTGAATATTGCTTCATTCTTAAAATTAAAACTTGAGACCTAGATTTTTTATTTTTTTTTATTCAGAACTTTTATCGTCAACAGAATGACTAATCTCTTGCTAAATTCTAGACACCTTTAAGGGTGGGACAGTTGATTTAATTGGAGATTTAAAAATGCTCCTTACCCAATGTCAATGACCGATTGTTTAGGATGGATAAGTTCCTTCCACTCAACCAACTCCAGATTTGAGACCTAGCTTGTTGAAAGGAGAATCAATTTTTTTGCCACTTGAATTAAAAGTTGTCTGAATTTTATTTTTGGTATATTAAATCATTTTCTGATGTTATGTTTTGGTTTGGATTTCAATTTTAAAAAGATTTATAATTTACTAAGTAAATACTCTAGCAAGAAGGTGAAGAAATTGTCATCTACCCAATTTTGCGTTGCCTACAAAATTATCATTTTTTTTTAAATACAACATTTATTAGTTCATTATATAATATAAGTTACATTTTTTATACTACTGACTTTATAATATAAGTACCTAACCTTTAAAAAAAATTAAAATAGTAAATTTTATTATTTATCGATTAAATACTCAATACAACTCCTGTCCAAAAAAAAAAAAAAAAAAAAAAAAAAAAAAAAAAAAAACTCAATACAACTAAAATATCTCGTATTTTTACGTTATTTTATTACGAGTAAAAAAAAAAAAAGAAAAGAAATATATCACTTAGTTTAGAGTGTTTGCACGATGGGCACACTATATTTTCTAAACTGGAAGTATCGTATAGAGTGCAAAATTATATGTGTTAACAAAGTATTTCTAAACCTCTTCCAAATCATTTATTATATGTGATAATATATATATATATATATATATATATATATATATATATATATAGAGAGAGAGAGAGAGAGGGGAAGGGATCAGGTGCATTTGTTGCTTCTCGTGCAGTTGTGCGGTGAATTAATGTGCGTGAGGTTTATACTTAATGTGCATGAGTGTTGTGCTTAATATGCCTGAGATTTATACTTAATGTGCGTCATGTTAATATGCGTGAGTTTTGTACTTAATATGCGTTTGGCGCACAACATGGCCATAGCCGGGCGCGTGCACTGCCGAACGGCGCGCCTGACATACTCTTTTTTTTTTTTTTGATTTTTGTTTTTTGTTTTTTTTTTTTTTCTTCCTCCCCTTCCCACATTCTCTTTCCTAATCACTCTTACATTCTCCCCAAAGTTATTTTTCAATGACAATGAAAGTGTGGAATAGCAATATAATTCAAATACATTCCAGGCAATTAAGTGGGGGCACCACTATTGACTAGATTATGAACAAACACTAATATTATGTACTATGTGACATTTTTGAAAAGCCCCTATGTGGTGTTTAGTCAGTGAAACATCATATCCTGTATTATGCATCCACAATTCCACATCAAGCCAACTTTTCCTCGGCGGAGTCCTTACGTTATATATTGACTTGTCGTTATAATTATAGACTTGGTTTAATATTGATTTGAATTCAGTGTAATTTATCTAAAAGATTTGGCATTATTATTTGTCAATTCAATTTGATTTTTCTTGCCCAAATTTATTGCCAAACTTTGTTTGAAAATATCTCCTTATGAATATTGCTTCATTCTTAAAATTTAAACTTGAGACCTAGATTTTTTTTTTTATTCAGGACTTTTACCGTCAGACACAATTTGGCCCTGTTTGGTAAAATGACTGTTAGCTTATAGCTGATAGTGTTAATTAGAGGGTATAAATAGTTGATAACATTAGATGATTGTAGAAAATTATTTGGTAAATTAGCTGTTAGCTGATAGTTGTTTGATATAATTTCTTTTCTCAAAAAGCTAATTGAAAAAGTTGCTTGGAGTAGCTTTTTGAATTTTAGCCTTTTGAAGTTGCAAAAAGCTAATTAACCAAACATTTATATTGATATTTTAATTAAATCAAACAATTAATAGTGGTCAAATTAGTCAAAATTACCAAACAGGGCCAATTGACTAATCTTTTGCTAAATTATAGACACCTTTAAGGGTGGGACAATTGATTTAATTGGAGATTTAAAACAACTCCTTATCCAAGACCAATGACCGATTGTCGTTTTGTTTATGATGGATAACCACACTTCAGATTTGAGACCTAGCTTGTTGAAGGAGAATCAATTTTTTCCCCACTTGAATTAAAAGTTGTCTGAATTTTAGTTTTGGTATATTAAATCATTTTCTGATGTTATGTTTTGGTTTGGATTTCTATTTTACAAAGATTTATAATTTACTAAGTAAATAATCTCGCAAGAAGGTAAAGAAATTATCATCTACCCAATTTTGCGTTGCCTACAAAATTATCAATTTTATATTTTGAAATACAACATTTCTTAGTTCATTATATAATATTAAAAAAAATTATTGGCTTTAACCTTTGTTTCTTCCTTTTTTATCCATATTAATTTACAAAATAACACATATATCTGCCTTCATTAATCAAAATCATAATATCAGAATTTATCTTTTTCTTATCAGCTTATTTAATAATTAATTTTACTAAACATATTAATTTCAATCAATTACCTTATTACGGAATATTTACTAATTCAGCTTTTATCTTTTAACTAGCTTTTCATAGTTATGATGGATGTGAGAAATAAATTAGAACGGAAAAAATAGGGTGGAGCAACGTAACACTATCCCTAACGTACTGCTGCTTATATATATATATATATATAGTTGTTAATTGCAGTAGTCGTAAAGCATACAACAAAACTTACACATAATATTGCTAAATCAATTGTCTTGAATCCAATTAAAGTCGATGATGAGGATTAGTGGTTCTTATCTTCAGTGGCTTCTGTTCCTTTTGATTATTCTTCAATATTTAAATGGGAGTAGGAGCTGCTTTGAGAATGAGAGAAAAGCTCTTCTAAGCTTCAAACATAGCATTATTTCTGACCCATTAAGCTCTCTTTCCTCATGGGGAGATGATGATGACTGCTGCAAATGGAAAGGAGTTGGTTGTGATAACACAACTACTGCCCATGTTGTTGCTCTTCATTTGGGGCGTCAAGGCTTGTGCACTGATGGATCACCATGCTACAACCCAGGCTTTCAAGGTGAAATCAGCCCTTCCTTGCTTCATTTACCCTTTCTCAATTTCTTGGATCTTAGTTTCAATAAATTTGATAGAATTCCAAGTTTCATTGGCTCTCTCAACAACTTGGTCTATCTTAATCTTTCTTATAATAAATTTGTTGGGAATGTTCCTCCTCATCTGGGAAATATTTCCACTTTGAAATATCTTGACATTGGCAACAACTTTTATGGTCAACGTTTAAAAGTGGTTGACACCTTGGAATGGATTTCTCATCTTTCTTCCTTGGAGTATCTCAATATGGATTGCGTAGACCTTCATTCTGTTTCAGATTGGCTTCACTCAATTTCTAAGCTTTCTTTTCTGAGAACACTAAGCCTATCTTCCTGCTACCTTCCAAGTCCCTCATCATCACTTTTGCACATCAACTCTTCTAGTTTCCTACAACACTTGTCTTTACAGTATGGAAATATAGCAACTTTTCCCCTACTGAATTTGTGGCTAAACCAAAGCTACTTCCTTCAATCTCTTGACCTCTCCGGTAATTCTTTGGTAGGTGGCGAGAAGGACATCAAATTCTTGAGGCATCTTGACAAGTTGAAAATTCTTGATTTATCGTCTAACTCTTTCTCTTTCAACTTTTCAGAACTCATTTTAGGTTCAGAGAAATTGATAGAGATTTTGAGATTGAGTGAAAACAAAATTGTGGGATCACTAGATGAAATCAAAAAGTTTAATTCCCTAAGAAAATTAAACTTGGGGAATAATCAACTTTCCGGTTCACTGCCGGACATGTCAACAATGTTGTCCTTAGAAGTTTTTGCAATTGGCAAGAATCTGTTCCATGGAAACTTAATGGGAAGTAACATTGGCCACCTCTCTAATCTCAAATGTCTGGATGTTTCTTCAAATTCATTGGATGGAGCCATATCTGAAATCAGCTTTTCTAATTTTAGCAAATTGGATGTGCTCATCCTGTCTGATAACTCTTTGACATTGAATTTAGGCACCCACTGGATTCCACCATTTCAGTTAAGTGGTCTAGGCCTCAGATCTTGTGAGTTGGGCCCAAAATTTCCTAATTGGCTCCACACACAGACAAAGCTAGATACTCTTGATGTCTCAAATAATGGAATTTCAGATCTCTTTCCTCAATGGCTCACCAATCTATCCAACTTAGACTATTTGAGTGCTTCTCAAAACAGAATTCGTGGAAAATTACCAAACATACCATCATTTTTGAATCTAGTAGACTTTAGCAGCAATTTGCTAGAAGGTCCTATGCCAAAAAATTATTCACGAGTATCAACACTGATCCTTCACAAAAACAAGCTTTCTGGAACCATTTCAGTTCTGTGTACAAATATTTCTACAGAGTTTGAATATCTTGACCTTTCAAATAATTTCTTTACCGAGAAGATTCCTGAATGTTTGTGGAAAGTTAACCATTTGTATAGTTTAAACTTGGCAAATAATAACTTCTTTGGTGAAATCCCCTTATCCATAGGACACTTGAACAATATGGTTGCACTGCATTTGAGAAACAATAGGTTTGATGGGGAATTTCCTGTGTTTTTACAAAATTGCACTTCATTATTGGTTTTGGATCTTGGAAATAATTATTTTACTGGGGGTATTCCTGCATCGATAGGAGAAAGCTTAAAAGAGTTGAAGATCCTTTGCCTGGATTCAAATGAACTAAAAGGATCAATCCCAATTAATATTTGCCAACTTCAATCCATTCAAATAATGGATTTGTCTTCGAACCATTTATCTGGTTCCATTCCAACTTGCTTCAAATCATTAATGACTAAATATGATGAATGGATGCCAAACGCGGAGACTTATGGATCTTCTCAACAAACCTATGGGATTCTAGACTCTTTCGAAGAATCTTTCTTTGATTATGAATGGCTTATGTGGAAGGGTATAGAGGTGGAGTATGGTAAGAACCTCAGATTCATGAAGCTCATTGATCTCTCAAGCAATAAATTGGTTGGAGAAATCCCAGTTGAGATAACTGATTTGCATATGCTTAATTCACTAAACCTGTCAAGAAACAAACTGACCGGATCCATCCCAGATAAGATTGGTGAGATGAGGTCACTAGAGAGTCTCGACCTGTCAAACAATCAACTTTCTGGAGCAATACCACCGAGCCTGGCTAGTATATCATTTCTTGCTCACTTGGACTTGTCGAACAACAATTTGTCTGGTTGTATTCCACTCGGCACTCAGTTGCAAGGATTCACTGAGGCTTATGAGGGAAATTCAAAGCTACGAGGGCCTCCACTTCCAACAAAGTGTCATAGAGATGAACCTGAAAATGCTCCACAACAAGGGGGAATTGATGAAGGATGGATTATTTGGGACTTTGACTTTTTTGTGAGTTTGACACTTGGATTCATTGTTAGTTTTTGGGGAGTATGTGGAACATTAATACTCAAGTCTTCTTGGCGACATGCGTATTTCCAATTTTTAGAAGACAAAAAAGAGAAGATTTGCACTGCCATTGTGGTCCTTGGAGCCAAATTGAAGAGAGGCATGAGAGCTAACTAGCTCGATTGAAGTAAAAGGTAATATAATTAAGATTCTAAAATTTTCATTTGAAATTACAATATTTTTTCGTTTAGCAATAAAGATTAATAAATAAATGGCAATGCATTAAAACATGATCAAATCATCTTCTTGAGCTGCAGGAAGTACGAAGGCAGCCATTGGAGTACCTCCGGTCCATCCATGTCATTCTAAATAAAGTTGAATCATGTGTATTTGTGTGTTTGTATTCATATTTCAAGTCATGTAATTCTATTTTGTTCTGTATTGTGTCATTGTGTGTATTGAGGTTCTACTATATATACATCATCATACCATAGCCTATTTTGAATGGTGGACTATAAAAATAAAGTTCATTTTAAATATATCCAAGATTCAATTTTAATATTAATTTTTTATATGCTGAAAGTTTATTTTTAGGTATACTTAAAAGTTTCCACATACAAATGAAGCCTAAAAAACTTAAGCCCAATTACTCTAGAAAAGTATAATTTGAAATCATAAAAGTTAGCCCAAATTTAATATAAACCCATGATACAGAACCAGCGCAGCCCAAAAACAAAACACTTGCTTGCAAACCAGCACATTGCCACAGCTTCCACGGAGACGGCATAACCGTGTGCACCATCCAAGGTGTATATAAAATTGGATTCATAATTTTTATACTATACATTTATAATTTCTATACTGTAAATTTATAATTTCTATATATACTGTATAGCTATCAAATTATGAACATATAGTTCAGTGATTTGTGAATATAGAGTTCAACAATTGCGAATATGAACATTGAAAATTATGAACCATAACGTTTTGTAATTGTGAATATAAAGTTCAATAATTATGAATTTATAGTATAGAAATTATGAATCTATAGTATAGAATTTATGGATCCAATGCATGGTGCACACAGTTGCACAATATAATTTGCCAGCTTCCACACACTGTCTTCAATCACCCAATCATTATTACATGGATCATGGTTCACACAACTGGATAGATCATAAATAAAAAGTATATTTTTAATATATTAAAAATACATTATTTATGTACATAAAGTACATTATTTGAATACTGAAAAATACATTATTTTATATATACTATCAAATAATACACATTCAGTACACAAATACTATTTTTAGTATATTGAAAATGCACCTTATATTCATGGTCCGCATAGCTATGTGGACTGGTCCACACAATAATTTGCCTCAACCATGGACCATGGTTAACCTTGCATTGTGGACCCTAGTTCAAAAGTTATGTGTCTACCATTAACATATTATGTGTGTCTATACAAGGTGGACCATGGTCCATGGTACAATTTGCATCTTGTGACCCTAGTCGACAAAAGACCTCAAAGGGAGATAAATCAGTCTAGGTTTCCCATAGTTAATCGGCTGAAACCATGAACGTCAATAGACCGCTCCCGTTGAGAATTGAACTTGTAACATTGTGGTTATCAAATAAATAGTGTGAAGAATTCTGTTGAAGTTGTTCTCAATTTTGTATAATTTTGAATAAAAAGTTGGTAGATAGAGCTGCTGGTATAACACAGGTGAATGAGCTTTGAGCTGACGTTAGATTCATCAAAATATTAAACTTTTCGAATATTCGAATCAAGTTAGCTAGAGCTACCTATGTTAATGCCCACACTCAAACTTTTGACAACATTACGTACTATTCTGTACACCAGTAAATTTTAAGTTATTGAAAAATCAACAAATTTACTTAATTAGAATGCATTTTGTAGAGCTTATATTATCGTAATTGCGTTTCAAAAAGTCCTTTAAATGAGATGTGAAATTGGATAATAAATTTTGATTAAAGAAATAAAGAATCAGAAAAAAAAAAAAAAAAAAACCGACATTATAACGATTGAATTAATCGTTTGATTTTGGTGAACATATCTATTATACTAATAAGAGCCCAAGAAGTTAGGTCTATATAGCTAAATATCTATTATACTAATTTAGGAGAAAGTGTAAAAAATGCCCCTCTATAATATGTCAATTATCAATGTCACTCCTGAATTATGAGTGGTGTAAATGTTGCCCCTCAATTATCAAAACGGTGCACATATAGCCACTCCCGTAATGGACATATGGTTCCCCGTTATTGTACGACACTGTTAAGTCGGAGTAAATATGTAATTTAGTTTATTTTTCCCTCACTCGATTCAAAGTACCAGCGATGGTCATCGGTGGGGAACCACATGTCCGTTACGAGAGTGGCTATATGTGCACCATTTTGATAATTGAGGGGCAGCATTTACACCACTCATAATTCAGGGTTGACATTGATAATTGGCATATTATAGAGGAGCATTTTTTACAATTTTCCCATAATTTTATTATATTATATTGTCTTTTTTTTTTTTTTTTTTTTTTTTTTTTTTTTGAAAGCCACCAATGTGGGTGATTATATTAAAGATAAGCTGCAACAAAATCCAGGGGATTAGAATCCCAATACATCGTATGAGTCTGAGAAAAGGCATGTGACGCTAACGAATGCGCCATAAGATTCTCTAATCTAGGAATAAAATTAACAGGACATAAATTAAAGGTTGACAATATAGTCTTGCATTCATCAATGATGTAGCCAGTATATGTTCGCATCCGTGTGGCTTGTGCTGATAATAGTCGGTGTAGATTTTGGCAATCTGTATGAAGTCGTACCGAGAGCAAACCTTTCTCCTTTAACCATGATAAAGTCTCTTTACATGCCAAGACTTCCGCCATCAACGGGGAAAGACAATCGGGAAGCCGCGTATGAAAACACGCCATGAACTCTCCTTCGCTTGTTAGCAGAACTGCACCTGCCGTGGCATTCCCATTCGTCGCATGATAACCCGCATCTATGTACATTTTCGGCAATCCGTTTTCCATAGCAGCAGGTCCAACGAAACCTGATGCCTCCATATCTCCAACATTGCTCAATACTGCCGTAAATGCTCCAGCATGTACCGCAGCCCACGCCTGCCATGCTGCAGCCGCTGCTTGCACCACCCGTCTCGGCCTCGGTAATGAACGCTCCCATACCGCTTGGTTTCTCGCCCGCCAAATATAATAGAGTGTCGCAGCTGCCATAATAAATTGGTGAGGGGTGAGTTTTTTCATGATTTCCATAAACCAAGTTTGAAAACAATCGGCCATAATATTCATAATTGGCAAATTAGATTCCTCCCATATTGCTTGCGTGAAAGTACAAGTCACAAGGGCATGCATCGTACACTCGGGGTTAGTCACACACATTGAGCATATTGGATCAACATCCACTCTTTTCGTAATAAGATTCGTTGTGGTAGGGAGAATACCACTGAGGGCCTTCCACATAAACATTTTCCATTTTGGGGGTATTTTCAATTTCCACATGTGTAACCAGTCTCTAAATTCTCCATCCCTGTACTCATAACTTCCTACAACACGCCTATATCCCCCTTTAACCGTATATATTCCATTAGGGTCCCCCTGCCAATACCACATATCCGGATATTCCACACAAATAGGTACCTTTTTTATTCTCATCACATCATAATCCATGAATAAGTCCCTGAGTATATCTGGGTCCCAGGTTCCAGTATCCTGGTCAATCAAACCCACCACTTTCGCTCCTTCCAATTCCTGGGGCATATCTGTTTGAATCATAGGCTCTGAGTCATTAGGTAACCATGGGTGTCCCCATATTAATGTATTATTTCCATTCCCAATTCTCCTCCTTATCCCTCCACAAATTAAACTATGGGCTGCAAAAATGCTCCTCCAACAGTAGCTAGGATTATTTCCCAAAACCGCCTCCTCAAAAGATGTTCTGGGGTAATATCTTGCTTTATAAATTCTTGCTGCTAATGACTCTGGCTTTACCAAGAATCTCCATCCCTGCTTTCCTAACATTGCCAAATTAAAAGCTCGCAGGTCCTTAAAACCCAAACCTCCGTACCTCTTCGGGGCACACAATTTGTCCCATGCTTTCCAATGTATATGGCGGTCCGTCCCAGATCCCCACCAATATTTATTCATTGCTCTCTGAATTGCAAGGCATACTGCCTCCGGGAGTAAGAAAACACTCATAGAGAAGGTAGGCATTGATTGTGCTACACTTTTCAAGAGTACCTCCTTTCCTGCCTGGGATAATAGCCTCTTATTCCATGTGCCAATTCTCTGTTTTATTTTGTCCTCTATATACGAGAACACCGCCCTCTTCCTTCGCCCCACAAAAGATGGTAACCCCAAATACTTGCCAAAATTCTCCGCTTTTGGGACTGCCAACAATTGCGCCACCTGATTCCTTTCCTCCTCCTGCGTATTCCTACTAAAGCACACACTGGATTTGTGATAATTGACAGCCTGTCCAGACAAAGCCTCATACTATGCGAGGCACCTTTTAACCTCCACAGCCTCCTCCACATTTGCCTTAAAGAACAGCAAGCTGTCATCTGCAAAGAACAAATGCGATATTGGCGGTGCTCCCCTAGCTACCCTGCAGCCATGTATTTTCCCCTGTATCTGGGCCTGTTGCAAAAGCATAGACAAACCTTCTGCACAAATTATAAATAAATACGGGGATAGCGGGTCTCCTTGCCTCAAACCTCTGGTTGGTGTAATATGGTCGGATGGGATGCCATTAATTAAAAACTCATAAGAGACAGTTGTGACACAATGCATTATCAATTCAATCCATCTAGCATTAAAACCCAGGGCAGTCAACATTTTCTGCAGGAAAGTCCACTCCATCCTATCATAAGCCTTTGCCATATCAAGCTTTAAAGCTCCCCATCCCACTCTTCCACATTGCTTTCTATTCAAGTAGTGTCCCACCTCCGCAGCTATCAATATATTATCAGTTATTAATCTATCCGGGATGAAAGCACTTTGGGAATCTGAAATTATTCCCTCCATTAACGGCTTCAGTCTATTCGCCATCACCTTCGCAATTACCCTGTATACCACATTACTCAGAGCAATTGGCCTCAAATCAATTACATACTCTGGAGATTTCTTTTTCGGGATTAACACCACATTCGTAGTATTTAGTCCTTCCGGGAAAGTTCCAACATCCAAGCAATTAACCACAAAAGTAGAGAAATCACATCCCACCACATCCAAGAAATTTTGGTAGAAACCCGGATTCATTCCGTCAGGTCCCGGGGATTTATCAGGGAACATATCAAATAAGGCTTTTTTCACTTCCTCACCAGTGAATGGGGAATTTAGAGACTCATTCTGTGCATGTGTAACACGGGGTTGTATCATATCAAATAAAGTGGTGGGTATATCCTGTTGATTCCCAGAACTAAAAACCTCATGAAAGTAATCCATAATAGTTTTACTC